GGGCGCGGTGGCTCACACCTGTAATCCCAGCACTTTGGGAGGCTGAGCTGGGTGGATTGCCTGAGGTCAGGCGTTCAAGACCAGCCTGGCCAACATGGTGAAACCCCATCTCTACTAAAAAAAAAAAAACTATCCCGGGGTGGTGGCACGTGCCTGTAATCCCAGCTACTTGGAAGTCTGAGGCAGAAGAATTGCTTGAACCTGGAGGTTGTAGTGAGCCGAGATCCCACCATTGCATTCCAGCCTGGGCAACAAGAGTGAAACTCTTTCTCAAAAAAAGAAAGGTTTTTTTTAAAGGATACTTTTGAGGATCCCACAGTCTCCACACTTCCAGTTGATGGTTTATGCCTAAGTGACAGCATAGCTTGTAACGGAAAGTGAGTAATTTAAGCTCTTCTTGTTATGCCACTTTCAATAATTGCAGTTCTTGACATACATTCCCCTCTGTCATAAGAGCCTTGTGGATGTTCGTTCATTTGTCTGCTCTGTTTTCCTTGGCACCCTGGGTTTCTCCTTGTCCCATGAGGGTTTTAGACAGCCACAGCCTGTTTGCTAGCTCAGCACCTCAGTGCCAGTGCCAGGGCCAGAGCCCGGCCCAGCCAGTCTTCTGCAAGGCTCACTGGGGTCACTCATGCAGTTGTGGCCTGAGGCAGCCTTGCTCTTGTGTTATCGGATGGTACCTTGGCTGCCCACCCAGTGGCAGGCCAGAGCTCTGCAGGGGAGAGTTCCCCCGGGACAGGCTCTGTGGTAAAGAGCTTGTCAGACTGGTACTTGCTTCCCGTTATCCCATTTGCCATGATATCCCAGTGGCCAAAAAGTCACATGGCTAAGCCTGAAGTCTTCGAGGGACTGTAGAAGGGTGTGGCTGCCAGCAGGCATGAGGGGGGCAGGGCAATTAACATCCTACCACCGTAGGCTTGTGAGGTACTTTGTTTTCTACCTGTAAATAACAAGCTCAATTTTGGTAGCTTATATTCTGCGTTGAACTCGGTTTGATGAACGTTTTGTAGTGCTGGATGCCAGAGGTTGAAGAATAAGGCAGTCTCCAGCTACTCTGCTAGTTCATAAAATGCTTGTGATCTCAAGTTCTAAGCAGACAGCATCCTGGTAAGGCTTTGGCTTTGGACTAAAAAAGACAGGAACTGTTTATAAGAATCTCTGCTGGGGCCAGATTTTGCTTTCAGAAATGCTGTTAAGTCCTTGAAAAAAGAAAGGGTTGCTATGATGACTTGGCTCTGGGCCTGCAAACTGTAGTGATGACATAGTCACCGAGGAAACCACGAGATACAGCGTCTGGAAGGCCTCCGAAGGGTTTTGTTACTGTCGTCTGGGATCTGATTGGCTTAGACTGTGTTTGGATGGGAGCAGAAAGCTGGAGCTTGCTGTCCTGCTGAAACCTCTAGGACCTGCTGCTGAGTGCTTTGGAGATCACCTACTTACTGGGACCTTGGTTTAAAAAGGGGGAGAGTTAGGGTAATTTCTAGGTTATTGTGAGATTTGACTCTGATGTTTGTGCGGCTGTAAAACAGGAAATGAGGTAATGCCTTTAAACATGTAGTGTGATAATGAACTGTAAATGTCTAAATATGGGCAACTGCAGTTCAGATTGCAGAGCTGCTGTGTTGAGTTTTTATGTAACTGGGTACGTTCCATGTTGGCTCCTTGGATCCTTAAAGGTATGCATGAGTATTAAAGTCTAGAGGCCCATCTGCCTGCTGACGTTGGACTCTCTGTGGTTCTGTTTGAAACTGTAAAGGAGCCACACCAGAGCTGCAGTTAAGGCCAAGAAAGAGGTTTTGAGCACTTAAGCCAGCCACAAACCACCCTGGAGTGCAAGCTGTGGCCTGTTACGTAAGTGTTGTGGATAGGGATATCTTGATCTTTTGGGAAACTTTGAAATCACTTAATTTTGGAGTTAAATATAGCCTACAAAAGTTTAATTTGTTCATGCTGTTTTTGAAGATGTGTAAATGCAATATTCAGGTCTTGAATTTCTAACCATAACCATGTATATATGGAGAATCAAAAGCAGTTGAACAGGAATTGAATGAACTAGAGGTCGATTTTTAAAGTTCTTTACTATGGTCACAGTTTTGGGCATGTGGTTTTTTGGGGTCACTGGAATATTTAGAAATATTCTAAAATGTTGTGTACAGAAGGCTGAGCTAAACAAGCCCTTCTCATAGGTGGGGAGGAGTCACTGTTTGGAAGTGATGTGAATTATTTTGGGGGGCAGGAGTAGGGGGCACTTGGATTAGTCAGCTGATGAGCCCTCTTATCGTCACCTTCCAAATAGGATTGAACAGGAGTGGCTTCTGAGTCTTGCCCTGCAGCAGGAGGCCAGGAATAGACATGTGGGGGCAGCCTCGTTCACAGGCCAGAGCATGAGCTATTTGACTTGAAGGTTCCAACTTCCAGAGTACTTGCATACGAGAGTCCTGAGCTTTCGAAACTCGGCCCATTAGCAAGAATCCATGTTTTATAGTTGGTAAAACTGAGGATTGGTGAATAGTTAAGTCAGTCATTGAAATCTCAGGGCTGGGGTCCAGAGTTGCTTATATTATTAATTTGTGGTGGCGGGATTATATTATATAGTGGAGAACCTCAACATTTCTTACTTTCCTTAGAAAGTATCTAGCAGATTAAAAACAAGAACAATTTGCTGTTTGATGACTCTGATGTTAACTCCTCAGTGTGAAGGAATGCTAGCATTAGGGCCAAACACCAGCCCGCCTTCTGCCAGCCTTTATCTGGGGCGAGTTACAGACACCTGTGAGCCTGGTTTTCTTTGCCTGCGGACTGTGGTTTCTTAGCATTTGGGGGAAGGTCATAGACACCTTGATGGAAGCCATGAACTATCCCTGGGCAAAATATATGCATGTACTTAGTTGTGTACATTTTCAGGGGATAAGCGGGATCCCTTTTAGCTCTGCAATCTAATGATATTTATGGACTGATTAAGCATTGTTTCCTTACCTGGGAAATAACTTTTGATGACCTGATGCTAGTGGCAGGTTGTGTGTGTGTGTGTGTGTGTGTGTGTGTAAATTACACGTGAAAAAGTAATTTTTCAGCTGGGCGAGGTGGCTAACGCCTGTAATCCCAGCACTTTGGGAGGCCGAGGTGGGTGGATCATAAGGTCAGGAGATCAAGACCATCCTGGTCAACATGGTGAAACCTGGTCTCTGCTAAAAATACAAAAATTAACCGGGTGTGGTGGCGCATGCCTGTAGTCTTAGCTACTAGGGAGGCTGAGGCAGGAGAATTGCTAGAACTTGGGAGGCAGAGGTTGCAGTGAGCTGAGATTGCACCTCTGTACTCCAGCCTGGTGACAAACCAAGACTCCCATCTCAGAAAAGTAATTTTTCTTTTTGTCTGTCTGTCTCTCTCTTTCGTTTTTTTTTTTTTTTTTT